GCCTGCATGGAGGTAATTCTTTAGATATTTTGTGTAGCTAGATTGAGTATTGTATTTTTGGTTGGTTAGCATAGGTAGTCCAAATAGTTTACATTATTATGTTAAGAAAAAGTGGTCTATCGTCTGATTAGATATTGGAATTGCCTATAATTGTAAATGAAAAATTCTCATTTTCATGTTAACAAAATGTGCACAAAATAGTACTTATGTTGCTCTTGAATAATATATGTATTTTGTCTTGTAATACAAATAAAGGTATGAATGTTGGCATGCAACCTTACTAACAGCTTTATTTTTTAAATAAACAACTTATTATCATGCATTTTATAGTATTGTATATAATAAACGACATTTGTTTTATTTTATTCATTTGACAGATCTTACATGTGCTTAAGCGTCATCTTACTAACTTATATCCTGCTAAGGGTGATGTCGGTTGCACCCTCACTATTCTTTGTCCAATTTGCTCAGTTAGTTCAAACCAGGGACAGGGACAGCGCCACCTCCAAAATTTAGATGATTGCTTAAAGTATGATTCAATTCCATGTGGAACATGTTCTATGTCAACTGCTAAGATTCGGTTATATTTCAAAGCAGGTATTAAAACTAATCAGTTATTGATAAACCTGAATACTTTAATATATTGCATGATTAGATTGATAATAATTGATGATAGTAAATATTTCAGTATTTCACTTGATTGTATTTCAACATTGACAATGGTACAAATATATTTAATACACAAGGACTACGGTATTAATTTTATTGTTTACGAATGTATGTATTGTTTAATAAACTTGCATTAATATTCGCCAACTACTCAACATATGTACAAAACTTAATCAGTTACATGCAGCCTTTAATACAAAGTGTACAAACATTGCTGTAAAAAAATGTCTAATAATTTTAAAAATTTATAATCTATGTATTAATTTTGTAGAATTGAGCTTCAGTAAAGAAATTAGAAATTCCTACGCACTCCAAACATTAACCACTGACCTGGGAACTGAGCAAATGCGAAAGTATTTCATGAGGAAAGGTAAGCTGAGAGGCAAACATGAGGTCGGAAAGTTTCTGTCATGGCAGAGAAAAAATGGACCTTTAAGGGATGTAGACTTTGGAGATGAAGCGTCAAAGATTTTCACAGCAGATGTGGACATCGACTCGTTTGATATTACCATCCTGATGTCCTTAATTCAACATTGCTTTACTCCTCAAGGCGATAAATTCTGGGAGAATCCACCAGATGTTCAGGACAAGTCCAAACTGGCAAATTTGAGATGCATTCAACTTTACAAAGAAAGCACTCTAGACTGCAGTCATAGCAACAGGACTACAGATGTAGAGTTTGACAAACAGTGGAAGGAACTTGCCACGATCTTTAGAAATATCGGAGTTCCCAATGAAGACATTCAGAAATACCACAAGCTAAGCATAGCACAACCAGTTAGAGGTAAATCTTACTTCATAGAATTTGTACTTTGAAATATGGAACAAATGAATTTGATATTATTAATTTCTATATTCCATCAGGCAGCTCTATCCGATTGATAACATACTAAACTGCTAAATAATGAATAATTAAAATTGCAACTAAAGGTATTTCCATTGAAACCAACTAGTAACATAAATTGTTTTAAATGTTACTGTATTTCCTAATTTTGATTTATCTTTTTATTTAAAATAGGGTTTGAGCAGGAAAACGTTGAAGAAATCAGAAATTTCCATGTTATTCTATCAGTTGTCGTTGATGTCGGCACTGTAACTATGAGGGAATACTTTTTGGAGGTTGCTAATCAAGGCAAGACAAAACAAAACAAGACTACTAAACTTGACAAAAAAGAAGTTGGACAATATCTGATGAATGAGAAAGGAAAAGGTAGCTTCAAAAATGTAAAAATTACTCCTGAGCAGAACGCAAAGATGTTCACACCAACAGCTGACATTGACACGTTCGATATCTCAATTATGTATTTGATAATCCGTAACTGTTGTAGCATTCCATACTCATTTTGGAAAGATCCAGATAGATTGCCTAGCTTGGTGCACATCCATCGCTACAGGAACACAAAGCTTGCACATTCTCCCAACAGTAAAATGTCAAATAAAGAATTTGAGATCGAATGGAAGAAAGTGAGAGCAATGCTACACGCTGCTGGTGCTTCTTTCAATGACATTGACAAATATATGGGGCTAAGATTTATAAACTAAAGGAATACGCCTACAGGCATGGAAAGGCGAAGCAGGTATGGTTAGATATTGCTGTACTATGATGTACAACACTCAACCGACGTCATGGAACTGGCTCACTGACGTCATCATAACTGAATCAAATTTTGTGCAATGCATGGATTTTCTTTGTTGTGTATTTGTAAATTCGATAATGAAACAATTATTTAAATTGATGTAGTACTATATAATATAACATTTTACTTTTCGTGAATTTCTGATGTTTCCAATTTTAATGTAGCTTTTCCTGTCTTGTACTAATGCTTGGTTAATGTTTTATATTTTGTATAATATGTATTTTTGTAAATAGGCCTATTATGTAGCCTTGGCTGCGATTTTAATACAAGATACAAGAAACAGAAACTCATTCAGATCACTTACACCGGCACGTCTTCTCATCTATGCCCTCTCTTTTAAAGCTGCATTCACATTGAGTCTGATCTGAAATTTGGACCGCTTTTCCGTTACGCCGAACGCCGGTGTCCCTATTCTTACATACTGATCCGATTCTATGATCGGTTCGGTAGGCTTTGGGATTCTGTCGATGTAAATGCTTAAGCCTTCTTATAAACTACACGACAAAGAAATAACGGCATAATAAACTTTAGATGCCAGCTATGTATATTAAACATGTTGTCACTGCGCATAGGCTATGATAAGGGTTCCCAGACACGCTTTGAATTGATTCCTAAAATTACTTTATTTGGTCAGTTATCAGTACAGTATTTAATTATATTTTCCACTTTATTTTTACAATCTTTTGAAATGATATGTCTTAAGAATACCTGGATACGTACATCAGATTTGCTGATAATTATGTCTATTTTCATTTGTTTCAGTGTACTTAAAGGCTACATGTTTCGTTTTTTAATCAATATTTTTTAAATATATGATTTGTTTTTCCATTTTTTGGGTTTCAACTACTGAACCCGGCCGGATCCAGTGAATAATTTTGATAAGGGCCATGTGTGTGCGTTGTGGTGGTGTGGTATAGTCGACTGTAAAATACGATCGCTTTTATAGAGTACAGTACATAGAGAAATGGTATCATGCAGAGCTTTCGATACGATTTTTTACTCTCCCCACTTCCTCCTTTCCCTTTATTCTGTCCCTTTGGGGGCGGGGGTGGGCTGGGGCTCTAGCCTCATTTCTTCTCCCATAATATTTAGGCTATATATAGCTGTAATTTATGGATACCAATGACTGTCACTTTGGAATGAGAAACATGTATATAATAATAGTAGCAATAATAATGATTATAGTAATAAGAATATTTAGGTCTATTGCAATAAATGATTACACCCTGTCTCTTATACACATCTAGAAATGGTAAATAGATTTGTATTATTGAGCTTGTATTCTTGTAATTACGCCTTTTGAAGATTGAAATTTAGCGATAAATAATAAAAAGAAAAAAGAGAGGAAAATGCTTAAGTAGTATTCAATGGTTATACTGCTGATATGGAGATGATGATGTGAATGATTAATAATAATGATGATAATGATAGCGGGGGGAGGGGGTAAGGAGAAAAAAGTACCGTGATTTCAGTGGCATATCCAGCAGTGGGCAAAAGGAGAGCTCGATTATTTTTACCACTCACTAATTTTGAATAATAATATTTTTCAGCATAACGTGTCACTGACATCGACTACATGGTATATATTATATTAATCCAGTGGAGGTGGGTTGCTCAGCAAGGACCCCCATACATTGTAAACATTTAAAAAAAATGAGATAAAATATTCAAATGTCGATCCTGAGAGTGTCTTTTCCGACCGTCTAGAGGGGGCCTATTCTTAAAATTTGCTCATCTCAGCCCCAACCATAGTGGGACTGAGGTGAGTGTGGACTACCTATTGCCCCCCCCAACCCCGTCAGAAAATTTCTGGATCCGCCCCTGATATTTTTGGACAGTTTCACACCGCACTGCGCCTGTTCACACGCTCTTATATTGGCAAGACATAGGCCTACAGACGAAGAAAACTTAAGTTTCCAATTTTCTCTGAGAGAGGGCAATTACTGTATGTCAGTCAGTTCGCATGCGTTGATCGGAGGAGAGTCGCCCACACAAACGTACAAAGGTACAAACCCCATCCACACACGTCACTGGCTGCGCGATAGAAGGAAGGATGTAGAAGTCTTACTGTAGTTTATAATGAATATAAAATTAGTACAAAATAAGACACAACGCATTTTTTTTATTGTTTTTATTTTTGTGACGATGTTACCTTTTTTTTTTTTCGAGAGAAGTCTAATAAATTTTAATATATTTTATGTGCGAAAAAATGTTTCTAATAACACAGTTGAAAAATGTCACTCGGAAATATATGTAATTTATCATAAAGATAAAATATAAAACAGGTACAAACATAAAATTTAAGTTTTTTTTTTTTTTTTTTTAATTACAATAAGCTTGCCTAAACCAAAGAGATAAAACTTATAGAGGTATATATTTGTTAATCCTTTAAATTGAATTTAATGTAACAACTGATAATGGGTCATAACAAACACAACACAAGTTAGGAAAACATCAATTATAGACATTGATTTGATAATTGATTAAACAGTTTTTATCGCACTCTGATTGGACACTGCACGCCTGGCGCTCCATACAAATTACTTGTTTATAGACTTGCGGCCACTTCGACGACTCTAGGCCGTTTCTGTACCCCCGGCCCGCAAAAACTGTAGTACGTAGCGTACAGTAAACAAGGAGTCATTCATTTGATACTTTAGATAGCCATTAAGGTCAAACGTTTAATGATTATTATTAACTATCATTTTGAACGAAGGAGGCTTAGGCTAGTAGTAGGCTAGGCCTACCCAGCTAGGCTTGTTATTAGTTAGGGCCTAGCTAGGGCCCGGCTTAGTAAGTAGAGGCCTAGGCCTAGGCCTAGGCCTAGTAGGCTAGGCCTAACCTAGTAGGTAGGTCTAGCCTAGGCCTTGGTAGGCTGGGCTGGCTATCTGGTCTGGAAGCCTAAAATAAGTAGTAGTAGGCTAGACCAGGGACTAAGTACAGTTGAGGTTATTTAATTAAGGCCTAGCTATATATAGGCCTAGGCCTGATTATGAAGCCTGGCCCTATGCTGGGCCTAGTCTGTGGCTGTCTCTTATACACATCTAGATGTGTATAAGAGACAGGGAATATATTTGTTAATCCTTTAAATTGCATTTAATGTAACAACTGATAATGGGTCATAACAAACACAACACAAGTTAGGAAAACATCAATTAGACATTGATTTGATAATTTATTAAACATTTTCATCGCAGTCTGATACCTACTGTAGGCTTAATTGTCCAACATACACAACGATTGGACATACAAATTACTTGTTTATAGACTTACGGCCACTTCGACGACTCGAGGCCGTTTCTGTCCCCGGCCCCTAAAAACTGTAGTACGTAGCGTACAGTAAACAAGGAGTCATTCATTTGATACTTTAGATAGCCATTAAGGTCAAACGTTTAATGATTATTATTAACTATCATTTTGAACTAAGGAGGCTTTAGGCTAGTGGTAGGCTAGGCCTACCCAGCTAGGCTTGTTATTAGTTAGGGCCTAGCTAGGGCCCGGCTTAGTAAGTAGAGGCCTAGGCCTAGTAGGCTAGGCCTAACCTAGTAGTAGGTAGGTCTAGCCTAGGCCTTGGTAGGCTGGGCTGGCTATCTGGTCTGGAAGCCTAAACTAAGTAGTAGTAGGCTAGACCAGGGACTAAGTACAGTTGAGGTTATTTAATTAAGGCCTAGCTATATATAGGCCTAGGCCTGATTATGAAGCCTGGCCCTATGCTGGGCCTAGTCTGTGGTGTGGTAGCTCCAGCGCAGCGGGGGTTGGGGCGGCAGGGGGAATTCCCCCATTGGATAGACCCCCCCTGTCGTTCGAGGCACTCCTAAGTTATTCGGATCCAAAATTAAAAATAATAGTTTTTTACCTATCCAAATTAAACATACCGTGGCATTATTTTGACTGACTGTCGACAGTGTCATCATATTATTGTGGTCTATTGCACATTGGACCATTCTAAGCCATAAAAACTCTCCCCGTGCACCCTACAAGGTCCAAGGGAGGTTTTATTCAGGGCTGAGGCTTCATTAACACCTGCTTGTCTCGGACCTCCGTTAGACCCATTGTCGGCAAGTCTCTGGCTTCACCGCCGACTATAGGCCTAGCTTATTGTAGTAACACAAAAATGTTTGTTGCATTTGGCCAAGAGCTATGTCCCTGCTTCTTGCACTGTAGACCCCGAGTCGGGTTTTAAATAAAGTCAGATCGCTCTTCTCCTTGACAGTGAGGGCCGAAGGGCTGAGCCAGAGGTGGGTTTTTAAAAAAATTCTGCATTCTTAAATAGGTACATTGGAGTGATAAGAATGATGGTGTTTTTGTTAATGTATTTGGTAATAATTAATAAAATGTTTATAAATCCTTTTTTAAACAGGTAATTAACAATTATGTTAATGTCATGATGATTGCATTTAAAGTAAAGGCTCTAATTTCCCAGGTGAAGATCAATCATTTAAGAAGACATCTACTGCTTGCAACAACGAATCACAGATGCCAACATACAAAGAGTAATTCATATAAACTACTCAGTTACAGGCCACCTGATTGGGCAAGCCACCTTCAAATGATTCCATTAGTGAAAGTTAAGGTAGGAAAAAAGCCAATTGTATATAAATATATTTGATTTTCAAAATACTTTTATTTATATATGAGAATATAATTTTTTTAATGTATTAATCAGTCAATTTTTAAAAGCTGAACTCCTGCTTTAGGGCACTCTTATTATTATTAAAGGGAAACTTTTGCAAAATGTCTTTTAGCTCTACAGCCAACCTCTATTATGAGGAAATGTTTATTAAAAAGATGGGAATACAGTAGGTTTGCCAGATGACCAGTTCAAACACATTCAGTTCCTGTGGAACAAATTCAATTGTTAAGATCAAAATAATATTTTCAAAATATGTCTCAAATTTTAAAATTGAATATCAGTTTATGTACGTAAATCTACAGACTTTTCAAATGCATACAATATAGATAGCACTTAGTCGCCAGTTACTCCATTAATTTTCTCAATTAATAAGGGTAAATAAATATTTTTTAGCTTTTTCAGCCATTTACACCTGTTCATAAATGGAGTCTTCCAAATATACCAGATGATATTGATATTTATATCAAGCGAGATGACATGACTGGATCTGTTTTATCAGGTAACAAGGTTAGATGTCTAATACTGTATTGCTTTAGTCACACTGATAATATCAACATTTATTTAAATTAATAAGATCATTTAATAATACATCAAGTCACAGATAAAAAAAAGTATCATTTCCAATTATTTAAATTCATTTTAATACAAAAGTTCTTGAATTTTCTTCTTGAAATGAAATTTGTCACATAGAACCTGACAGTGTGAACAGAGCTTAAAGCTGTGTCCACACTCTCAAATGTTTTGTGACAAATTTGTGTGATGTGCATGATTATGTCATATTACACCCAAATATGGACATATCACATTTATTTGTCACACCTGATAGTCAGTGTGGGAGGGGGAAGCTGGAGCCTAAGCCCCCCACCGGACTGGTCAAGCCCCCCCCATTGGACAGAACACATCGGGCAGTTGAACTAAAAAGAAATATAAAAATAGCCCACACCAAGCCAACAGATGTCTGTCACAGTCTGAAAGTGTCATTTCTAGAGCCGCCATTGCTGATGTGTGATCAGAGCTTAAGATTAAGATTGTAGTGGAGGTGTGCTTGGTGGTGACAATGCTTTGCCTTCAGATTCCTGGGTTCTGGGTCTCATGACTCAAAATATTTTCCCTCTCTGTCTTGCATCACATTATTTCATATATTTAAGAGGGCCCCTGAATATCATCTGACCTCAGGGATAAAAGGTCACCCAAATATGAGTTAAAAACAGATTTTGAATGTGAAGTAAATGTGTCGAGAGTGTTGAATGTGAAGTAAATGTGTCGGGAGTGGATTTCCCGTACGATTAAAAATCGTAACAGTACTGGGTTTGGTCTATAGGAGTTCGTGCTTCGAATAGGTCATTCCATTCATAGAAGCCTTTTGATGGAGAAAGTGTACCTTTTAGCAAAGGTTTGCCTAGGTCGAAACTAACTCCGGCTATATAAAATTGATTATAAGATAGTAAAATATTAATCTTCTTATTGTAGTAGTGATAGATACTATGTACACGTTTAATTATTGTTATTTATTCGTTATGTCATTATATTTAGATTTTTAAATTTATTGTATTGTTTAACAATGAATTATTAGTTCATGTA